GCATGTATGTAGCGTATAACTATATATATATATATTTATATATATATATATATATATATATATATATGTAAGTGTGTCTAGATATATATAAATATAAACATACACACATATATATATGTATATACATTTACATATAATTACGCATTCTCACATTTATACATACATATACACCCATATACATACATTCATACGCATATAAATGCATAAACACCTATATATACACACACATATATATGCTTCCATATGCATATATATATATGTATATGTATATACATATATATATATATATTGACATGCACATGTATATATACATATGGATGTATGTATATACATGCATATGTACATGCATATAGACATGCGTACGCACATATATACATACATTCTCATCTATTCATACATACATACATATTTACATACATATACATAATAAAAAAATACATATATGTATATACACGTACGTACATAATCATGTACATACATATACATACATCTACTTACACTAATACTTCTACATATATGTTTACATATACAAACGTATGCATATTTACATACATATACATAAAAGAAATATATCTACATATATGTATATACACATACGTACATAATCATGTACATACATATACAGACATCTACTTTCACTAATACTTATGCATATATATTTGCATATACAAACGTATGCAGATTCATATTCATATACACACACACACATATATATATATATATATAGTTATATATAAACATACTCATATTTACATATTCACAAGTTTATATATACATACATATACATAAACAATTACATATACCCATATACATATATACGCATATATACATGTATATGAATATAATTACAAACACACACGGGTACATATATATAAACATATACATATACCTAAACATATACATGTACATGTGCATCTTCAGGAAGATACGCATTTATATACATATATATATATATATATATGTATATATATATATATATGCATATGTATATACCCACTTCTACTCAAACAGTTACAATTACAAATATATGCTTATACTATACACATATACACACAAACATATATATATATACATATACACACACACATATACATACACTTATACATATATACATACACACATCTTCACATAAACACACATATATAGAGATTTTCACACACGTTTATTGAATTAAGCACACATACAAAAGTTAAACACATCTTTGCACATCTATAGACGCCTATACATTTACATATGCTAGCATACGTACACATGTCCATCCACATGTATAAATATTTATACTGATACATATACATCTATACATTTACATCTATACATATACATATGCTGACATACATACACATCTCCAAATATCCGTATATACGCACATACACATATACGCGTGCATTTACATATACATACTGCTACATACACACACACACACACGTATATATATATATATATATTTGAATATGTATGTATATATGTATACATGTATATATATCAACATATATAGACATATCTGTATACATATATTTTCAATTATTGTTTTTCATACTATTTTTATTATTATATATGTGATATTGTATTTTAATGTTCATTAAACGTTAATACATCTGTGTACATGTTCACTTTCCAACTCAAGTTATTTCTGTGGTCTTGAACATATATGAGATGCTTTTTTTTGGTGTCATTTATGTAAAACATACTCTAAACAGAGGCAAATACACTACTTGTACTGGACATACTCTTCTGTGCTCGTGAAGCCTAGTAAGGATGGGTCTGTGTTTAAGTATGTGTGCAATCTAAGTACAACAGTACTCGTTCATTTCTCGCCCGTGATTGTCCTAGTGGTCTACTTGAGGTATATACATAGCGAACGTGTTGTTGATTCCTTATGCACTCTAATGCGGATAACCGTTTTGGTGTGGTATACCTGTAATTCGACAAATCTCATGGCTTCGTGATCTACGAATTCCTATAGTCCAGCAGAGTACCCATGCGCCGACCAATGTATATGTTCTCAAGTGGTTAAATGGTAACCTGCATCTAAGATCTATGATGTACATGTTGAGATATAGTCGTCTGCCTGTTATTCATTACACAATGTACTATACGCCAGCCAGTTTGTTGCAAGATAATAGTAGTACACGTTTGCTAGATTTGGGGAGTTTTTTTCATTCGCAGCCGCTTCATATATTTATCGCTATCATCTTTTCCGTACACGTACACGCAGAGTATGCTTTCCGCTAACACCCACTCCGCACACATACACCTTCAGATCCCCATTGAGGACAGGAAGGGCAAATGGAAGGAGGAAGGCCTGCAACTATACGAACAGCAATCTATAGTTGATCGGCATCCTGACTTGGGTTCAGCACTCGACGTACTGAATAGGTACGATGACTTTGGTGCAATTGGCGGTAGTGGTGGTGGTACGAGTCCAGGCACCAAGTTTGAGGGCATTAAGGCCAAAATGAGTAGTACGGACAGCACGACGACTGGGCTTGGGCAAACCACGCGGAGTGTCTTTAATCCGAGACTGGGCGGAGGCGGCAGTACCGTGGGCCCTGCAGGTAGCAGTGCTAATACTAATACGCATACATATATACAAGAACAAGACAACGAAGACAATACAAAGAGTGTCGAGGGGGATGAAGAAGGCAACGAGATAGCTAAGAACGACCGCTTCGCCACAGCCGCGGCACAGGTGATAGACATTGACGGCAACGCACGCGCAGACTTTATGAGTGTGCGCACCGAGGACACTGCCGAGGAGCGTGTAGGTAGTAATAAGGAGGTAGGCGTAGATGAGAATACCCCGGCCGCACAACAAGGGAAAGGGGGTGAGAATAATACAGGGAATGGCATGACCAGTACCAAGCCTGACAGCAATCGTACGAGCCATGCGAAACGGGACGATGAGAGCGAGGAGGGTCGTAAGCCCAAAAGTAAGGCCAAGCACGCCTTATGACACAGTGGTGGGTAGAAAGGCCTCAGGGTCCATGGGGCATACAATGTGCACCTATGTATGTGGCTGTAGTCAGCTTAAGGCAGGCTGTGTGTGTGTAGGTATATAGACTACGGCGGGTCTTGTCTCTGCGCGTATATACACTTCGATTGCACCTGAGGTGGCGGGGTGGTTGTATTGACAACTCTCCTTGTTGGTCAGGCACATACACGTCCTATCGCCAGAGAAGTGCAACGCCAGCATGCCCACACTCGCGATAACCCTGGGTTTGCGGCTTTGCACATACACCCTTTTGCATCAAACTTCGCATTCGAAAGGGGGTTCAGAGGTATTATCTCCTTGTGAACATATCCCTGTATGTGCATAAAGCAGGCTTCTATTGAGATACCCGCGTACGCATACATGTCGTGTATGTATCCGAAGCTATCAAGTGGTTGGCGACCAGATGCACAGCGCGCATGGCTATCTATTCACACTCGTTTGACCATGCGCACGCCTTGTGTGCACAAGCAGTGTGTTATTCGAAGACTATAGCTGGGCATGCACACAGTCAGTACACCCGTGGTGGAGCTTCATGCCTGTGGGCATGGTTTCAATCCGGATCAGGGAATACGTTTCCTAGGCCATAGAGAAGGGTCAATTGAGACGTAGGCAACTTTCGAGTGTTCACTGAGATTGCTGGCTTATACGCACGCCAGAGTTGTGTGGCTGCCCACGCAGAGAGTGACGCGTACTCGCATTGGTACGTATGAAAGCGATAGATGCTGCACGATGAATATCCATATGCATAGTATATGGAGTCCGTGCAAGCTACAAATAGATTCGAACGACAAACGCATAAGACAAGAACGATACAAATAAACAAGCATCGAATGATCGAAATATATCTATATATAGATCTCTATATCCATCTATATATATATATGTATATTTATATATATAAATATATATATATATTTATATATATATGTGTGTGTGTGTGTGTGTGTGTGAG